GTATCTATTTTGTAAGGTGTTATGCAAACATATGGTGTTGTAATCACTAATAAATAATCATGAGTATGCAGTAGCCTTAAACTTGGTCTGGGAGATCTTTTATACGTGCACTCTTGCCTACTCCTGTGTTAGGCACCTGTACCTGTGACCATGCACAGGTGAGCATATGCACGTGTGGAAGCACAATGAATGTACTGGTGTGCACTGGTGATAGTGGTAATGATGCAGAGATAAAATCTGTCTTCAGATCTTTTTCTGGCAATTTTGTACCAAATTAACTGAAAATATTAAACCATTACATTAACAGGCCATGCACTATCATGCCTGTGTAATTGAAGGAGTAAAATTATTCTGAATCAAAATTTTGGAAAATAAGTGAAGGGTATGTTCTGAGCAATTACCTGCTTTTTGAACTGATTGTGCATTTTTGCATCAATGGGAGAATGAAGTCAATTCCTTTGAAAATAAATAAATTGTAGGTTTTATGACTCACATAAAGGAAATGTGTTCTTGGTGATGTTTGAACTTAGCATAAACTACCTAGCAAGTTACATGTATATTCTTAAAGAATTTTTTATTAAAAGAATGAGCAAAACCTTTCACAATTACTTATGTCTCTTCCTCAGCCGTGCCTGTTTCAAGAATAGCAGAACATTTTGCTCACCTGAAAACTATCACAGGGTCCTAAACATGTGAAGTCATGATTTAAAAGACCCAGATGTTAGTAGAAGTGATATAGTCACTCTGTTTTTCCACTATTTTTGACAAATACATTTTCCCCATAGATTAACAATCAAATGACTGCACAGTTCTCTGATTAATTCTGCTAGGAAAGAAGAAGATGCATTTCCTCCATGGTGTAGATGACTTAGTTCTTATGGCTGTGAGACCATCTGTGACTCCATTCCTTGCAAAGCTTACCCCTTATGCCTACAGTGGAAATAGCCAGTAAATCCATGTTCAAAGGCAGAACTCCTTTGCTCCCATCTCTTCTTTAACCTGATCCTTATGTTTTCTTCTCTGTGGAGCAGAAAGCCCATTATTAAAGCTCCTTTAGAAAGGGACTTCTTGATCCCAGAAGAGAGAGAGAAGAAAATGGACACATTGTCCTTCAAAAAAAACCATTATCGATCTTTGTACATTTATGTTCAGTTAAAATGTCTGGGGACAACCACTTGGGTCTGGGCTGAACTTCAGTTTCAGGCAGCTACTCCCTGAGGTCCTCTTTCCATGATACAGAGTTTGTTTTTGTTCTGCTGGGCTCACATGTGTAGCCTGAACCTTTCCCAAGAAGTTTGTTGTGTTAATATAAGGTGTATAGCTGGCCCTTCCTCTACCTCACACACTTTTCTTCATACTGGGAGGGGCAATCACTTCTATCATCCTCAGAGTCTACTTCTAGAAACTGCATTGAAATTTGGCTGTTCCCCTGCAGGTCTGTTTTCGGGGAGGGGTAGTGGATCTTCTCTTGTTGCTTAATGATTAAAGAGGAGATAGAGAAATCTTAACAAAGTCTGCATTAGTTCTCAGTAGTTCAAGCAACCTAAAATAATTATATCTTTTGGAGACTCATTTGTAAGGTGATTGTCTTCATCTGCATCAGCAACAGTGAATGGAAATCAGTTCAGTCATTGTAACAAATATTCATAACTGGTTATATTGGCCCTTAGATGGGATATGTGACCTGTGAGATATAAACTGGGTATCTGACAGTCCTCACTGGCAAATTTTGTAGAATTAAATGAAATAATTGGGTTTTTTTATTTTGTATTGTTATCTCTATGGCATGTTCTGACTAGGTCTTTCTGCATAGCTTCCCTTGGAACTAATGGAAGCCATATGTGCAGGAGAGAAAAATGTACTCATAAAGTTATTTTCCTCATTTTAACACTGTCTTACTTCCTTCTCTAGGCACCTTAACAATGAACATGCATTGGATGACAGAAGCACTGCTCAGTGTCGGGTGCAAATGCAAGTGGTTCAGCAGTTAGAAATACAGGTTTGTTATATGGAGGCATTATGCTGTTACTTATTTACTGTTAACCTAAACTAAATTGAAAACACTTGCCTTAGTGACTCTAGCTTAAAGACATATGTTTCTTACATTAAATTTGTTGATATTCATGAATAAGTGAGGGTTTTTTACTTAAAGATTTTTCACATTATAAATTATGCAATAATTATCTAACATCAAGATTGTCTACAGTATTTTGCTTGAACTAAGACTCTAAAGCTATTCATCACGAATGAAAAACGCAGTCCCTGGAGCAAAGACTGGATCCAAGCCATCTTCACTTTTTAAAATGCTGGGTCAGAGCCCCTCTTCCTTCTTCCCCTTCTGACCCAAGGCTTGTCTGTGCTGTTCTGTGGGATAAAAGAGTAGCAGAGCATATCTCCACCCAAAATTACTCCCAGCCTGATAGGGGCATTTTTCTGCAAGCAAGAAGGTGTCATGTCAGACTGAGGAAGGTCCCTAGGGAGTGCCATGCCTCAGACCGCAGGCCTGCAGTGCCCTGTGCATGCTGCAACCATTAGAGGTCACTGCATGAATGTGAATGCTCCCTTCTGCTTATGCAGGGAGTGGTGAGTACCCCCGGGGTCTCCCAGTATTGTGACAACACCTACAGGCTCCTGAGCTTGGCCACAAGCCTCAGAGGTGACCATATGCAGGACACTGGACCACACAGCAGTCACGGGGGGACATGTCTCAGCAGTCCTGTGCCCTCTTGGGACTGCTCAGAGGAGCTCAAGGGATGCAGCAAGGGACCAAGATTTTTGTCCCTGTTACTTGCCATATGTAGAGGAAGAAGGATAACAACTCTCACCTTTCTCACCTTTTCAGAATATTGTCTCAGTTCTCTTTCACGTAGGAATACTTACTCTTCTTTCAGCCAAGGCTTTCTTGGATCTTTTTTACTTTAATGCTGGAAATTCAAAACAATGAGAGGAGCATGCAATAATGCAATTTGTTGTCATTTCCCTTAAAATGAATGTTTTTTTAACCCATGTAAAGCTGCTATTTCTTTTATGTTATTTACGTGATAGTGTTAGCTTAATTTGTTTGTTAGTTTTGTTAGGAATTTATGTCATGGCAAATACTGTGTCACTAAAACATCTCACACATGGAATGAAGCTACACATACTATGAAGAAGAAACCTTCACAGCAACACCTGCCTCAAATGTTCTTTAATAGAATATGTACTGATCAAATTAAATACCTGCAGTACTAAAGATAGTTCCCTCTTCTAAAATTACTTGCAAGTTGTCCAATCCTTTGTCCAGTCTCAGTCTACAGGTGTAAGAGCAAGAACTCTCTGGAAAATGGTAGTATTAAACACCACGTTCAATACTTATTGCAACTAATATTGAAATTGTGTTTTAGATAGCCAGAGCCAAATCACTAGAGTAAAATTTTGAACATTTCTTCTTATAAACCTGTTGGTGAAAAAAGAAAGAAATCTTTTCCTATTGTAAAATACATTTTCTGCTTTTATATTCTGCTATTTTTATCAACAAGTTGCATATTTCAAGCACTTCCTCCGGTTTCTTTTTTTTTTTTAATTCAGTACCTTGTTTGAACCTGAAACTACAATTATTTACTTAATATATGATCTGAAAATGGTATCAGTTAGGAAAAAGTAGAGGTTTAAGTAACATAATGTTTTTTGAAGGCAGTGTAAGGGCTTCATAGGAATTGTTTACCATTTACAAAGGCTAGGCTGTAATCTCACAGTTGAAGTGAAGATTTAGCTTGCAGTGTGACCAATTATGCCATTTTTTGCTTTGTCTGACTGCCAGCGAAGTAGGGTCCATCAGTTGTAATGAGACCCAGTGCAGTGTCGATGCCGACTCGATGGCAGAGTTCAGTGTTTCACACTGCCTGGGCTCTGTCACTCTATTGAATTAGATTGATGATGGCAGATTGCAGGGGGCACTAACTGGACCTCAGTGGGAAAGGATGAAGTGTGTAGTCAATCCTGGCAGGCACTGTGCTTTGAGGACCCTTCACCCCTTCACAGCTGTTGGCACTAGTCCATTGCTAACAGTGTCCACAGGACTTTAAAGAGACACTATGGGCCTTCTAATTTATGGTCTTAGTAACTTGTTACTGTCGAGGCAACTGTGACCTCAATTCTCTTATTGACAAAAAGATGAAGTGCTATTTGTTTTCTCTGACCTTTTAACATATGAAAGGCTATAAAAGTTTTTGTTGGGTTTTTTTTCCCCTTCCTTCCTTCCTTTCTTTCTTTCTTTCTATGCCCAAAGTTGCATTTCCTGTCAGATAAGTTTCTACTGACACAGACTTTTATATGCAGGAATCATTACACCAAGACAAGCTCAATGATAAGATGTATCACTGCAGTGAAATAGCTGTATCAGTCATTTCTAAAATGCTTCTGATCCCACTCTTTCTTAACAGCTTTCTAAAGAACGCGAACGTCTTCAAGCAATGATGACCCACTTGCACATGCGACCCTCGGAGCCCAAGCCATCTCCAAAACCTGTAAGTGCATATTGCTTTATAAACAGTAAATAGGTCTACGAATGTAGCAGGCTAAGAAAATGAACAATTTAGTGACAGTTGGAAAACAATGAGTGTGATGAAAAATATGGCAATAAAATGAAGGTAAAATGCAATATCTTGTCAAATTGTATGTTTCTTTAAAAGTAATGCTATCTTTTGCAAAATCTATCCAATCTACACCATAGGTGACACTAAACAAAGTACACCTATAAGTGTCCAAATCATTGCCTTGAGACTGAAACTAGAGAGAATATCTTTTTGTGATAGGTTTAGAGATATTAAAAGGAAATCCACTTTGAAAGATTTGAAGTTCATTGACAGTAAGAAGTAAATGTAACATGAATCTAGGTACTTAGGAAATTTCGCAAATTGCTTACAAGAGACACAAGTAAACAATTTGTTATTCTTAAGTGAACAAAAATGTTATTTTATGCAGTGAATTGAAATAATTGTAAACATGGGGAGGTGTTGTGT